TCAACACCAAGGGCACTCATGTGTCAATGTCCCCACTACCAGTCTCAAATAACTCTAATAGAGTTTTTTATATAGTTCTATATATATTTAATTATGATGGTGCCCAGATGGACCTTTGCCTAGCTTCTTGACATACTGTACTGTGAAGCAAGTCCACCATTCTTATATATCCAATGGGCATATTTATTTTAATCAGTGTCACTACCAAAGCAGAAGGTTCAGAGTACCATCCCAAAGGCCCAATTTGAGAGACCAATTGCTTTAGAGGTATCACAAAGATTTGGTGAGTCTGGGGGAGAAAATTTGGAACCAATGGATAAACTCATCTTGGTTAGAATTCAATCCTCTTTCCAGATGGCCAGTGGGTGACACGAGCTGAGGCCATGACAGCCTGGGGTACTAATGTTAGCAGAAGATGAGGTACCCCTTCTAGTTATTTTTAGTTCATTCTGCAAGGAGAAGACTTTTGAAGGCTTTTGCTTTATTATTCCTATTAACGGCTGTTGGGGAAAAATCATACAATAAGAGGGACATGGTAGCATTTCCAATGATATTTCCACTATCCGAGCTGATCTCTCTTATTCATTATGTTTCAAAAATCCTATTAGAGATTATTGGTTTAATCTATCAATATAACACTTATATTTTAAAAGGTGCTTTAATGCATTGACATTACAGACATATCTCCCTTGGGAAGCTGACAACCTAACAGGGAGACAGACAATAAACATTCCATATAATGAATGCCATCAATACAAGTTAGCACAGTGATACTATGGCAGTATACAGAATGTGCATTTTTCCCCAGACTGAGGCAAGGGAAGAATGGGAGTGGATGCAAGGCTTCCTAGAAGTGATATGTGTTCTGAATTTCAAGAAATTATTCTCTCATAGACCATCCACTCACTATATTATGCTAAAAATATTTTTGCTGTTTATGTTTATTAGTTAAATCCACCATGGTTGTTTACATGTTACAAGTCCAAAGGGGTCCTGATCTCTGTTCACTCTCTGTCTATAAGCATATGCCAATCCCAGCATGAATTATTGACAAAACAACTTCTTGAGATCTGTCTACCCCAATTGGTTGGCCTTAATTTCAATTTGGTTCATATCACACAGGATTACATTAGCTGGCCAACTCCTATTTTTTCTCTCCTCCACAGTTCAGATAGGTAATTATGAAGTTTAAAGTACCAATATCCTTTTGTAAGAATAGCAAGTATCTGCAACTCGATAAAGTAAGAATGTTGCTAATATTAAAAAATCTCTGAAGAGAAAGAGTGAAAATCTATTATCACCTTCTGTGTGCCATCTCCTTCAAGTCGTTCCCTGGCTCACTCAGGTAGAGTGACTTAGTATGAATTTCATCTATACTCCCAAGGCACCGTGTATATATTTCATATTACATATTAGCTCTTATGTCAGTCTTACCTACTAGACTATGAGAGTCTTAAGCATTAGCACTGTGTCTTTTTCAACTTATCATCCTCAGTGCATAGCACTGATCCTGGTTCATATTAAACATTCAGTAAGTGTCTGAAAAGTGAAAATGTTAATCGTGCAGTCATGTTAGACACTTTGTGACCCCCTGGACTGTAGCGTGTAGCCATTTCCGTCCCCAGGGAATCTTTCTGACTCGGGATCGAAGCTGGGCCTCCTGCACTGCTGGCAGATTCTTTAAAACATCTGAGCCACCAGGGAAGCATCAATGTTTAATAAGTGAATAAACATGGAGGAATATATACCTTTCTTAAGATATTTTAGCCACTTCCACTGGTTTACAAGATCTCTTTGTTTACTATTATCTATTTGGTTTTCGCTTTTTCTTTACAGTTATATCCTACTGTTTTTATCAGGATCATTGTTTTACTGGATATTTGGGAAATTATATCTTCTAGCACCTTTCAAGACTAACAAGGGCTTTCTGCCTACTGCTTTAAGAAAAAATGGCTCTGAAATGCAACTATACCTGGCAGCCAGTAAGACTATATAGAATTTTCTAAGAGAGAAACTTCCATTTAGACATACAATACTGAAATTAAAAGCAACATTCTTAAGTGTAATTAAATGAATACATTCATTTGTCAAATTCTTATTGAGTTTCTTCCGCAGAATTTTGTAAAGTGCTTTGTTTAATGAGACAAATTAAAAAAGGCCATCATGATTTAGTGAGGGAGAAAAAAGGCAAGTAATCACTACTGTTAAAGTTTGATGTTTTAGTTAATATTTGGACTGTTCCATGATCAATCGAGAAGTTATTCTAATCCATTATACAGATATAGATTGGATAACTTAAGTATTCAGCTTAGAAAGTTACTAGAATCATTTTGGAAGGAGGAAATCCAAACCATCTATATCTTCAGTGGTGTATACCTGTGACATTCTATAGAAATCTGTTTCTTATTTATCCTAGTTTGTTACCGAAATCAAGCATTCTGGATTGTTAGCAAAACCAGGATATCTAACTTATAATATCAATTTACATTCATATTCTTGTGACTTAACCAAAGCATTCACTTAGTTCAATATCCTTCACTTAAAACAGAAGAGATTCACAGTAAATTATGGAGGATTGATGTTTCTGTAGGTTTAATCCAAGTATTTCTTAAGCAAAAATAAAACAGTTTGGCAAGTCCTTTCCTGTCCTGGGCATCAGTGTCCCCAGCTATCCTATCAGAGGACGGTCTCATAGAACCACTAAGAAAGCATCCAGACCAAACAGCTTATAGACATCCTGGAGATGGAAACTCAATTAGATAATTTTATTTAGATGAATCTATGGTAAATGGTAAGAAAACTGTGGCTAAAGTCAAACTCTTTTGGGGGGCAATACATCAGTCTAAGTAATTCTCTTATAATTTTGTATATCAAAAGGAAATCTACTTTTACTCTTTATTAGGAACATTCCATTCCAGCAAATTTTCATCTTGTGTTCGTAGAATGTGAATTTTACCAGACCTTAACTGTAAAAATGAGCAGCTGTACACAAACAGTAGCAACATAATTTTACTTATTACTTTATAGAGATAAATGTAATACCTTAAAATAGTATTTAATTTGTAATATGGATAGAATTTGACTTTGAATAAGGATGCCAAATATTTTAAATCCCAGAAATTATGTTTTCTCCCCATTGCCTTGTTTCTTGTTCTATAAAAGTTTATTAAATTCCTAGATGTTTCTATTTAGTCTTTAATATCATTTCTTTTTATTTTCATAACAGTAACTTAATAATGAGATACCACATAAATGTAGATTGAAATATCCTATCATACTTCATAGTTGGTCTTGCAACTCCTTGAGAAAGAGTTCTAAAACCTTAAACAAGGCCTTTATTTTGTGTTCTAAAAAAGTGTCATAAGGAGTTAATAGGACACAGCTGTACTGGCTCTTTCTAATAAGCAGCTTCTGTCGCTTTGGTCACCACAGGTGTCTCTGTAACCTGCAAACTCTTATTACTAGTGTATCAAAGTTGTGCTACTTAACAGACTTCTTTAGTAAAACATAACAAAGCAATTACATGGCTGTTGATTGCCAGTCATAAAAAAAACCCTCAAACACTGCTTTTCAAAAGAAACTACACTGCAATTTTTTGTCATTGTAAAATAAAAGGAACTAAGGAATTAAATGGAGGATAGAACAAAATAACAGCAGGTAGCCTGCTGAACTTAGCCACTACAGATGGTTTAGAAATAGTGTTTCCTTCTCCATCAAGTTGTGGATAAAAGGAAAGGAGGAGATTCCTTACTGCCAGTGAATGGCAAAAGATTTAGCCAAGTCTCCAGTCTATGTATTTTGCCTCATGAAAGACCTTCGATGCTGCATTTTTATCTGTTTTTGGCACTGCTTTTCATCACCTTTAACTGGGTGTGAATAATAGCCTGATTTAATTTAAACAAATACAGGTGCTAAAGGTTCTTTATTTATGTATAACAGGGAATATTTCCAAGGCAGAACGAAGTCATCCTATGAAAATTCCTAACCATTTACTTAAAGACATGAAGTATTAGATGAAGAAATTGCTTCAACATTCTTTTGCTTCACTTTTAAGGGAAGAATCATCTTTCTTTTCAGATTCAGATTACATAAGACAAAGTCTGAATGATGAGCAAAAATTCAGTGAGCCATAAAATAATAAAAAGACAAATCAGATGATTTCCAATTGTTCTACAGTCATTTAAATCATGTACCTACAATAGGATTGCCTTGAAATGAATTAATTTAATCTCCTTGTTCATAAATCAGCAGGCTGTGATTATGACTGTGTTAACACCACCCAAAGTTGCATCACAGGATGTTATGGCCACATGTGTAATTAAACAAGATGAAATATATTTCAGATGGTAAACTCAAATAGGCAAAATATGAAGAATTATTCATTACTTACAGATATTATGATTAACAAATTAAGTAAATTTATCCTGACAGCTAGGAAAGGGGATTTTTTTTTTCTACTGAGAATATGGATGTATTGCTGGCTGTGTGCAAAAGAATGTGTGCAATAAAGCGATTACATCAATTAGCATATGCTAGAGTTAAGCTATTACCAACTCCACTGGACTAGTCCAGAATGTCCTGCCTTCATCACTGGAATTATTAAGAATGTAAACTTACTAGTAGGATTATATATTAGATTTTCCTTGTCTTTTCTGAATATTATTAGAAACAGATTTTAATGTTCAGCAACATATTAGAACATCAGAATATCAGTACAAAGAAATGTATTTTATTAATGCAAAAAGACAAGAACAATGTATTTTGGTTTTGGTTTTTGGGTTATTCCTGAATTGAAGAAATCTTTTATTAGTTAAAGTATTTTTTCACAACTGTAAATAACTGCATACATTAACAACAACAAACAGTTTTTATCTAATTAAATGTAATAATAGAAAACTTAAGCTGAGGATGAAAATGTTTATGATGATAAGAAATCAAATACAATGATGACTTAAAAAAAAATAAAAGCCCAACTTATAACTTATAAACAACAGTATTACCTTGCTCTGTTGGCATCCTTTGTCAGATCCCAAGCCCAGGTTATAAAATTTTGACTCAGATAAGAGACAATAGATTCAGCACAAAGCATTTGTGAGCAGAACACGTTGGTTAATACACTTTCATCATGGTGGAGGTAGATAGCAAGAAGCTTTCTCTGAAAAGAGGAGAAAAGATTGATGAATTAAAATATCCACTAATGTAACATTTCTTGAATTTTGAAAGGCACAATCAGTCAATACAAACAACAAAGATAAAAATTAAATGCTATTCCCTAAAAGTATCTGACACCTGGAGCTCCTAAAGCATCTACTAATATGAATACATTTTGCTTCAGATGATTATACTCTTGTCTTACAGACTGCTGTCATAGATTCCTGTTAACATGTGCAAGCCTATCTCAAGCATGAATCAAAATAGGATTGCATTTTCTTTAAAGGAAATGTAATTACAATTCTTCATATTTAGTACATACTATATACGTAAAGGGAAAATTAATTCTGAGCTATTCAACAATACAGAGAAAAAAATACTGATTAAGATTGAATGCTAAAATCTCCTCTTACATAGTTTTTATGTTTTTAACCTGAACACTGAAGAGTCTCTTCTACTTGAAAGAAAAAAGTCTGAAATAACTTTTGTTTTAGTTCCACAGGTAATTTCAAAGTCCTTAATGTTTTCCCATGTCAAAGTCCTTACTTCAGAACATGTGATTGATATCTACTTGCCATTTGAAAGGATGATAGAAAAATGTTTACTTCACTTGAGTTCCTTCTAGTTTGTATTTCAGAAAATATCCAATGTAGTTTCTCATACAGAAAATTATTCTTTGCTTTTTGCCTGATAAAACTTGCTTTCAAGAAATGACATTTGCTCTTTTAAACCTACCCTTTGTCAGAGCTAGATAATCAATAAAATAACTGAAACTAAAAACTGATATTGAGCAATATAATTTGCAAATGTCAGCTTTAACCACAGCAAAGATGGTTAAAGAACCTAAATTGTCCTTAACTAATTTTATGGTGCTACCCTATAGAACACCTGAGTTTAAGAATAGCCAGTTACCAGGAAATGGAAAGGTAAAGTATTATGATAAATACACAAACTAATCTGTGAAATTCTGGTGAAGGACAATTTCAAGGAAGCTTAGAGTCCTTCCCCTCATATTGAAAAAGAATGTGATGATAAGGAGAAAATGCTGTGTAGTAAGATGAACAAAAGAAGGGTTTTTATTCATAACATAGGGTTTTTATTTATTTAACCCATTTATAGAAGAAGGGTTCACGCTGATGAACATCTGAGGCTTGGAATTATGTTGATAAACAATCCTAATAACAATAGTCATCATTATTTTCTTCAAAGGAAAATTTTGTACTAGATGAGGGTAGCCAGAAGTAGATGCTTCCAAAATGAGTGTTAGTTACACACCCATTATCTACTTTAATCCCTAGAACAAACCTGTAAAATAGTATTCTTCACTTTATTAACCTATGAGGAAACTGAGCTTTAGAAACCTGGCTTATCCTAAATTCCACAACTAATAAGTAAGTAGTATATCTGGGATTGGAATCCAGATTGGCTGACTCCAAGCCTAGTGTTCTGTCTTTGATACTACAGAAGTAGCAAAGAACCCAACCACACTACACTCCAGGCTTAGAGAGCTTGTAGAGTATTAAGGCACCAGATGCTCACACATCAGTACTTCTGGGGCCTCAGAGAACAGCATGTAATGTGAATAAGGGCAGAACTTCCGAGTGTAAGTAGCTCCAACAGTAGCTGCTTCCAGGTGTCAATTCATTCATTCAACAAGTATTTGTTAAAATAATCTTTGTCTCAGGGTCAGCAGGAAGCAGTAGTGATGAAACATTGAATAAGATGACACCTGCAGATAATAGTAGCTGGTATCTAGGAAGTCTGTAATCAGATATATTGTGGGAGATTTATTTGGAAGATTCCTACTCAACCTTTAAGGCTCAAAGTAAATGCCTCTATGAAGCCTTCCCTGATTCTCCAAGGCAGTGTTAAGCACTTCCTTTTTGGGCCTCTATCTCTTCTGTTAGTATTGTAATTGTTAACCAGTTTCCCCTCTAAACAAAGTCTCTCAAGGGTAAGAACAGGGTCTCTTCTGGTCTTCTTTGCATCCCTAAGTTAGCACAGGTCTTAGCATATTTGAGGAAAGAAACAGGAATGCTGGATATCAGCGAGAGCCCTCTGGCAAAAAAGATACCAAATGGTAGCCAAATCACTCTTAGTAAACGAATCTAGAACTACTGCTTTAGGGATGAGAATGTGAACCTGGCAGCACTAACAAGTTCAGCACTAACAAGTCCTCTTCTTAGACGCTCTCTAGCCCAACCTCTAATTCTGCTTGACTGTATTTCAGCAACTACATTTAAAGAGACACTGGGAACAAGAGAGCCATCCATTTTTGAATCAGCATATTTTTAACCAAACAATAGCAATGGCTAAATCTTTAAAATGCTTATTTCTCTCAAGAACACTGCAATGGAACATTTAGACATTAGGAAAGAGATTAGCAATTTACATTGCTATTTCACTGATTTAATTTGAATGCTCTTCCAAAACAAACACACATATACTGAAGAGGCTACTAAGAAACCCAACGTGGAGAGTTCCCTATAAGTGCAGCCGACAGTGTTGACTGAAACTAAACTTGGAAATCCAGGGCACTAATGCACAATATCAAGCAATAAAAAGCATCTCTTTGGTAATATTTAATTTAAAAAAAGAAGAAAGAGGCAGGCGAAGATCAGGCACTGTCTGTTTTGGAGGATCAACCGTTCTGCATTTCAAAGCATTGGTCCCTGCAATATCCAGGTTACTGTGCTAGAATCTCGACTATTATATCGCAGTTGTGAGAGGGAGGGCAAAGATGTGTTTACTCAGTGATTAGGCCCTTAGAATAAGCCTCTAGCTCCTAGAGAGACAGCTCACCACTTATTCATTTGGACCAATTCACAAAGCCTAGGAAGATTAAACATCCATGCTGAGAAGACAAGCGAATGCAGACGGCGAAAAAGAAATAAAAATTCTTTAAAAACTCTGAGATGACTTCATTATTTCTCCACAAGGAAACTTTAGGAAAGTGTTTAGTTAGAGAAAGCCCACATTGACCCCTCTCCAAGCCCTTAATCTTTCCTTTGTGGTGGCGCTGCTTTGTGGTGAGCGGCTGGCTCGCCTCGCCCCTCTTTTCACTGGGAGCTGAGAGAAAAAAGGCTCTGGAGAAACAGTTTTCGTTCCAGGGACATAAACCCCTGACACTGTTAAACATGAGATGCCAGGAAAACACACTTAAAAAAAAATCTCACTTTAAGCTCTAAACTGTGAGAAAGGAGATGATACAAAGAGTATCAGAGAAGGATCTTCAGGCTGGGGGTACTCCCATAGTAGCTTTCAAAAGAAAAACTGAAAAACCTTAAAATAATCTTTTCTCCCAAACCTAATAACACTTTCAACTTTCAACGAAATTTTTTTCTTCTGCTATTATGACAGTAAAAATAGGTAAAATGTTAAGACTTAATAATATGAAAATGCTACTAAATTTGGGTTACCTAAACCTCTGATTAAATTATAGGCACACCTAAATGAAACCCCCCAGTCTCAGATTTCTGATTACTTTATTGATTCAACTAAACACAGGCCAGAACAGTGAGAACTGGGTTGAGCGTATCAGAAAACTGCTTTTGTGAAGAAAGGGCATTTAGTACATAGAAAAAGCATAGGAAAATGTTTTGTTTTCCATTACTATAACCATTTTTCCCTTTGGCGCATTAATAATTCAGTTCAATAACATTTACAGAGTGCCTATGTGTTAGGCATTGAGAATATAAAGATGAATAAAACAAAGTTCCCTTGCTCTCTAAAAGTTGGGGATCTGGAGGGGATGGCAAATGCGGAAAGCAAAAAATTTAATTGCAGTATCATATGAAAAGCAATAAGATCAGGGCATTTAAAGATTGTACGTTTTATTTGTCCTTTCTAATTTGGCAGAGAGACTAAGACTGGTTGAAGAACAAGGCAAGCGGCCTAGCTATATTCTCCTCAGACTCCCTCTTTGTGATCTAGGTTTTAGTAACACAGTTAAAGGAAAGCCTCCAAGCATTAAAGTAACAGAAAGCTCTGTGCTAAACCCAGTTTTGCCACTTACCAGCTGTGTGATTATGGCGGTAAGATGTAAGGATTGTGGATATAGTAGGTAAAATACTTATTTACAATGCGTGGCCCATAGTAGGTGCCGAATAAAATGCAGCTGTTCGGATCAAGATTCTGGAAATATCCATGCAAAATAAAGGATTTAAAGGCCAATTCAAGATAAATTATAGCCATAAAAATACACCTTCTTTATTTCTCCTACTAGTGTTTGGGATGCTTAATTGTGTCCACAATTTCAGGGCTTCACTAATCTTCATATTCAAATCCAGGCGCTAAGGTACTAAGTTGATCCTTAGAAAATGCCAGGCTGACAGCAACCAATGTGACCTGGCCCTGAGCTACAGTAGCTATTGTATTTAGACACTCAGCATCACAGAACTACAGAACATTAGAGCTGGAATAAGCCAGGCACAGAGCAGACACTCAGAAAATATTTACTGATGGACTGAAGAGAAAGTTGTCCAGTTTCTTTTTAGGTACCAGAATATCCAAAATTTGTGTGTTCAATGATTTTGAAGTTGATATGACAAATGATTTCTAGAAATGGTATTTCATAGTTTTTTTAGTATAAGAATTAAAACAAATTAAAAATAATTATCTTTGTGTAAATTGGGACCCAATTTTATTTCTCCATTTTCAGTTTCCCTTCTCCTTTTATATTATCACCATAATAGTCAGAATCATCACTCTTGTTTTAAGTTTGGGGATGGTTTACTGATACAAGGCACTGATAAACTGATACAACAGTAAACACTCTTTATATTTTACCTAGATTGATCAATTATTAACATTTTGCCGTATTTGCTCAATCATTCTTTTCATGCTTCTTTCCCTGAAACATTTAAAGCTGCACATATGACACCTCCACTTCACTTTAGTGTCTGTCACCTGAGAAATAAGGATATTCCCTTACACAATCATTATTTCTTTAATCACACCTAACACAGTTAATATTGTTTACAATATTTACAACTTAATATTGTA